TTAGGTTTCTTTACTTTTATTTTAATTTCTGTATTTATCCCTTTCTTCTTCTCCATACTCAACTTTACCTTCTTCCTTGTTTGAGTCTAATCTATTCATGTACATACATACACACATCTTGTTCCTAAACTGCTGCTTAGCACGTTTCTGTAATTCAGTATCAATATTAAAGCATACATTTTGGGGACATTTCCGCCCCAACCATGTACATGTATGGCATTGGTATTGGTGTGACTTATGAATTGAGTTTTTCGCTCTATTTTAAACTAATTTGAAATTTTAAAAATTGCCTGCACATCAGCATCAAAATACCTTTCTAATGATATATAATTGTTTATACCTTAGAAGTATAGGTTAGCCGTAAAAGGGGTGTAAAGAAAACATGATTGCCTATTTATATAATTGATGATATAATTCATTCATAAACAATATATAATATAATAAAATAAAATGTCTATCATACTCAGACGTATATTAATCCATATTTTCTACTTATACAGAAACTTCATAGCGAGGGTTCAAATAGAGCTATCTCGCATTTTCTCAAAAAGTACTTTCTGATGTGTCTAAAACTTAACTGTCATCACTGATGTTAATGCTGACCTTATTTATCGCTTGTTAGAAGAATTGAAATTGCTTTTTCAATTATTTTATATTTTTTAAGCTGTTAAATTAAAAGGAACGAAATTCGAGAATATGGTCCTGAACCCATAATTTTTCAAAAATAAATACAAATTTGCAAGAATACTTAAGGGTAAATCTTAAAAGGACATTTTCAATACCTATTCCTTATAACCCAAAATATTGTATATTTCAATTCTAAACAATTTTTTGAACTAATAATATAAATATTTGAAATTTCAAAAAGCCTTAAAAAACCCAGATGAAAAACTGAAAACGCAGTTTTACTATATTTGGCTTCTAGTTTTGTGAGTATATTTTTTGTGTAATGGGTGTTATCATTAACTTGATTTTTTGAGTGACTTATGAGGCTTTCAAAAAAACATCTTCTTCGTACCGCTGATTAGTAAAACTTCTCTCTAACATAACCTCAATGGTTCTCAACCTTTCAATGCATTTCTTTAAGGAATATATACCGTTAAATTATAACTAGTTTTATCATTAACTCGATATTTTAAAAAATGTGACTTATGCCATTCGCTAATATAAGGGCGATTTTTTCAAAAAAATTTATTCGTGTCCTTAGAATTTCTTAAGACACAAAATTCATCGAAAGCCTACAAAAAAAAGAAAAAATATCCTTATTAAAATGGCAACCCACCGTGAGTAAGAATAAATACATATCTGCATTCACCTGTTTATATGTACATATGTACTATGTATCTACATACCTGTTCATATGTATGTAGAGAGGTATGTATGCACATTTCCATTCATATGCATAAGATGAGAAGTTATGAGGTAGCAACCAATCAATAGCTATATAACGCAAAGTACGATCAGAAATTCATAAAATGGAAGATTTAAAAAGAAAAAAATTAATATATTAGTAATTGTAAAATCGCCTTGTGGATAGGAAAAATTTAATATGCTAACCAATGAAAAACTCAGTGCACAGCGAATGGGGAGTTGAGGCAAAACTAATGCATATTACGTACACACTCACACAGCTCCCATCAGTATTCATATGTGTCAAATATGATTGTGGATTGTACATACATACTAACATGTATATATGTTTATTTACCTATTTAATACATATGTACACTTATGTAAGTTTGCATATAACGCAGTAAATGTTGGTATATATGTGTGATTGTATGTTGTAAGTACATATGTACAGTACGCCCACGTTAAAAGCAACCGGTAAAAGTTCGGGCAGTTGCGTTTCAGACTGAACGACTGATCAGAATTTAATCTGAAAACAAAAGTATCAAAAGTAAAATAATATGGTTGATTTTTTTCATTAAGTTTATATCGGAGATGCCACGGTCCCACCTCCAATAACGCCAATTTTTCTCCACGAGTATGGTATTGATTTTGTATATCTCCTTAGCAAGTTGCATTACTCTACCACAAATACTTCCAGAGGTATGCAGTATGAAAAATTGAATTTGTATAGGAGGCGCCACGCCCCTTTATATAATCGAGATAAAAGCTGTCCTATATTTTAAGTTGGGCCAAATGACGCAAGTGTTCGAAATTTCATGAGGCTCGGTTTAGTAGTTAAAGGGTGTAAGCGTAATAAACAAACAAACTCACATTAGAATTTATGATATTAGTAAGGATTTCGTCTCATCTTCCAATTTTTCTACAGAAAAAATCGCAACCGAAGACCCCAGTTTCTTAACATAATTTTAGAAATATCAAAATAGATTTAAAAAAATATATAAAAAACTGAGTATGAAGTTCTCTTACAAATAAAACAAGTTTAGCAATGGAGGGAAAATTATTATAACTGCTTATTATATCAACTACAACAAACCCCAGCTAATAAAAAATTATAATATAAGACTGGGTTAAGCGCATCTTCAGGACAATCCAGCGCCCTTGGCCCTTATTGACCAATATCATACTGTTTTGAATTCCGTCATTATTAATGCATGAAATTTTGCCTGCTTTATTTGACTAAAGGCGCTGAAGGAAACGAGACATTGAGGACTTAGCAATATTATCAAAGGATACCCCCAATAAATCTTAAGGCAAAGGGGACGCTGTACGAATAAGATAAGTCAGCACAGCGTCCAATGATTCTTGTGTGATGTAAGTTGAGGATCATTTTTCACAATTTGAGTTGACACACACGTTGAGAGTTGGAAAATGTTCGTTCGGGTCGTAATAGTGACAATTTGGGTGTTGCTTTAACCGAGGTACTGCATTTTATCGAGTGGTGATTTTACCGAGAGCGTACTGTATGTACATATGTGTATGTAAATATTAGGGACCATTTTCATAATGCAAAAAATATACCTACAGATTTATGCTCATAGGTAGTATGTACAATGTAAATGCATGTGAATGTGGGCACATGTATATGTACCAACAGGCATGTGTATGTAAATGTAAAATTTGGCCCCAAAGCACCTTTACCACCCCCAACCACATGCTTTCAACCGCCACCAGCCAACAACCACCTACCATCAGCGACGAGAGTTGCAGCCGCCGACACAGCAGCAGCAGCAGCAGTAGCAGCGGCAACAACCACACCAACCACAACAACGCCATCAACCCCACCGGCCGCACTCCCCCTTCGCTCCACGCAAGCGATGTTCAAGTGCAAGCACACATGGCGAATGGCGTTGGCGAGCTCCGCTTTTGATTCTTTGTTCTCCGCTTATTCTGGTGCGCACAACAGCCTCAGCAAATAAAATCACTAAATTTAAATTTTAAGCCACACCCACTGTGTCAGTTAGTCAGCCAGCGCCAGCCGCACAATCCAATGGGTATAGTAAAACTTTAAAATGTATAAAATGTTGTTGGCGCGTGCTTTACAATCTCATTTGCCACACGAATGCAAACACACACACACATCCACACGCATGGAAGCATACAAACAAACAAAAGGCACCCAAAACAACACAACTTCGGCTTCAAATTGCTTTGCTGAGTGGTACTCCCAACTTTCGGTGTGCTACTCAGAGCAATAAAGGTTTTCTCCTCTGGTTGGAGCGTATTGCCGTTTGAGTGTGTGTTAAGTTACACTCACTAAAACTTCACACATTCACCCGCCTAGATTGCAACAGCGCTCATATCGCTGAACTCGCAGGTAGTTGGTCTCAATTGCATTTGCGGAATGTGTGTGGAATCTGTTTGATCCATTAGAAGGGGGAGGCTTATGGGTGAACGTACAATTCTGATTTGACCATTTGACGCGTTTGTTTGAAAATGGATAATTGGAAAATTGTTTCTTATTTTGCATTCAATATCTACTAACGCATTTGGAAAACAAAATTCATTAAATTTTTGCCCCTTTTTTCTGAGGACGAATGTGTGCGCTCTTTTGCTCTTTGAGCTCTCATGCACGCATGCATGCACATATGATAGGTCCGTTTGAATGTATGTATGTAGGCGCATTTCGTATTTACTCGCACTCATTTGCGCTCAGATGTGGAGCACATTTCATTTCAAAAGCAACGACTTCAGTTGGGGTTTCATCACCAAACCAGTCAAACGCGTTGTGCTGCGTTGAACGTTCTCTGCGGAAATCGCAAGCCAAGTCAGTCACAGCGTCATTCATATTCGTCGTATTTGCCGGTTGTGAGCGAAGTTTCGTTTGTATATTTTTGTGTTTCATTTTTGTGGACTTCATCCCCGAAAAACTACCTCACGCACATATCGCACCACATCAACATAGGACGTTTCCCCTTCTGCGGAAATTTTGAAAGAAAATAGCAGCTCACTGAAGAAAGAAAAGAGTGAAATTGTGTAGAATGTGTACCGATTTTGGGGTAGAAATGGGAATTTGCCATCTCAGCCTCAAAAAGTGTTCAATCAAATAGGGAAAAATGCAAATGCGATTGCACACATACGCATCGACAAGTTGTATGTATTAGCGTTTGCGGCGATTCAACTTGTGTCGAAGAAGACAAGAAATAAAGTTCATAGAAACCACAAAATAATTCTAACAAAACAGTTGCTATTTGGACACGGTTAGCATCAGACCTTCGTCGATTAGTTGATTCTTAGACAATTTGAGTATAGAAGGTGGCTAATAAAAACTAAAAATAAAGAGGTGAACTATGTATTTCTTCAAATACCAACTCGTATAAACTAAAAAGAAGAAGAAAAAAAAACAATATAATAAAGACACCTGTGTGCGTAGTGGCGGCACAGGAAGGAACTGCGTTGGTACTTCAGACACGCCAGCTAAGATACGCGCCTACAAATACAAAGCACACGCACTACTTATTTCACCACTTAATAGTGCAAAGACAGTTTAAGTGATACCAAAAACAAAAATAATACAAAAAACACACATTCATACATAAATACATATCCGTCTACGATACGAAATTGATTAGATTCTAAACGTCTGAAATCTCGATCATTAATACCGTCCACATAGCATACATATGTAGCATAAGTACATACATCCATGTATATATATGTACATACATACATATATGTATATCAAAAAGTAACAACAAAGCATAATCATTAGTAAACATTATCGAGTAGTAGCCAGCGCATCGAGGTGTTTTGTGGGCATACATCTTATCGGCCGTTTAGTTTTCTGCGAAACATAAACGTGTCCAGGTCACACGCTCACTAATGAACGCTCCAAGTAATACCATTCGAATTTACAACTACTTACGTGTATGTACATATGTGCAGCGAAATAGAATCTAACATACATATATTGCACGCGCTTACGAGCCACGAAAAAGCGCCCATTTATGTAGAACTCTACGCGAATGTCAAAAAATATAACTCTTAAAAACAAAAACAATAAATGTTTCAATTGCTAAAAAAAGCCTTGAGTGAAAACAAGTGCAACAATTCACCACTGACACTAAGATTATTATTATTTTTTTTTTTAAATAACAATAACCCCTTGCAAAAGCAAAATACTACCGTACATAATTCGTGAAAATGGTTATGTCGGAGCTACGTTGGAGCACAGGACCTAAAGACAATAATAATTCGTTGAAGCATGATTTGTTGAGGACACCTACAAGTGGGCATATTATGCAGAATAGATGTAAGTACTCGAACACATTTATACATATTAATGGTGTATGCATACATACATACGTATCTACGTACAGTGTACAGTTGTTTGTGTTCAAATTGTTTTGCTGAAATTAAAAAAAAATTCTTATTTATTATAACCGAACCCGATGGAAATAATTGAATGAGTTGAATATTGATCATATATGTATGTATGTAATTACACAGGACCCCAAAAAATATATATTTTTTAAACAAAGATTTGTTTTGCGAAAAAAATATTCACATTTGTTTTACATATGTAATCTTATAAGTTGGAAATAAAATATTCATATGTAGTTGGACTTATTGATTGAACTATCTGATGAATGTGCAAAAAGTAGATCTCTTTTGCTCGGAACTTGGAAGAAATAATTGAAAGAGTTGAATATTGAACATGTAATTATTATTATTAATTTTTGATAAAATATACATATATGTATATATATATATATATATATGGAGCTAAATTTATAGAAACGCATTGTTTGCTTTGCTGAAATTAAAAAAAGAGATATCTATATATATATAATATGCGAAGGGATTTTTTGTGCAGCGTAAAAGATCTGTACCGTTCGTTCGATTTTCAAAAATGGGGTGTCAAATTAAAGCGCTTGGCCTATAGATGTGTGCTATTTTTTCGAAAGGAGTCGCCACCTGTAGAACAATTGAATATAAACTATATAATAAGCAATGCCGTCAAAACAGCGCCGTTCGTTTGATTTTCCAAAATAAGGTGACAAATTAAAACTCTTGGACTGCAGATATGCAATAAGGTTTTACTTTTTTGAAAAGAGTTGCCACCTTTTGAAAAATTTCATTCAAATTATCTAAAAAAATCAATTATTACGAAATGGGTATCAGTGGAAAGGGTTTTGAAAATATTTGTTTCTTGACTTAACTTTAGGAGGGTTGCCACCTGTTTGCAAAATTAAATCCAATTTGAATAAAGAAAATTAATTAGGAGAAATATGTTTCAACATATGGGCGCATAACGAAAGGGGCTTCAGAAGGCGGCCGTTTGAAAATATTTTGAAGAGGGTTGCCACCTTCTTGCAATGTCGAATTTAATTAACTTATCCAGAAGTTATATGAAGTGTCAAAATAATCATGTTAAATGAAAGAATATTAAGAAGACTTTAGTTTGAACACACAAAACATCTTTGAGGTGTTGGAAGAGGGTTGCCACCTGTTTTAAAATTAAATTCAAATTATTAAATAAGTTAAATGAATTATTAATATATGGTTATTTCGGAACTATATTTAGCGGAGTAGCCACATGTTTAATTAATATAATTCAAACTAATTCATCAGTTGATTAAAATATGTATCGCAATGTTAGACGAAGAATATTTAACAATATATCTTAGCGCGAAACTACTTTTCAAAAGGGCTGCCACCTGTTTAAAAAGTCGAATGTAACTATATCTATATATATAATACGCGAAAGGACTTTGAACCATTCGTTTGATTTTCGAATATCAAATTAAAGGGCTTGATATGTAGATGTGCAGTAGGCTTTTACTTTTCCGGAAAGAAAGGCCACCTTTTAAAAAATCAAGTTGAGATTATTTATAAATCAATACCATCATATCCCATTCCTTCGCTCGATTTTCAAAATTGAGGTGTCAAATTAAAAGGCTTGGTTGCAGATGTGCAATGAGGTTTTCCTTTTTGAAAAGAGTTGCCATAGGTATCAGTTGAAATGGTTATTAAAAGCTTTACTTATTAACTGTGAGAGTGTTGCCCCTGTTTAAAAAATCAAATTAAATTTTAAACAGGGTAATTACATAGGTAGTGTACAAAATGTTCCCCCACAGGGGTCAGACTAAAGGAGTTTATAAAGGTAGTAATTTGAAAATGTTTTGAAAAGGGTTGCCACCTGCTTTAAAAGCCGAATATGGGTGTTAAACGAAAGAGTGCTAAGAAATCTTCAGTTTAAACATCAAAATTTTGTTTGATGGTTTGAAGAGAGTTGCAAGCTGTTGAAAATTTTAAATTTAAATGAATTAGTAAGTTAATTAATTACTAAAAGAGGTGATTTAATCGTTCATGGGTTTGAGAAGGATTTATATCTGAACTGTTTAGGAGAGTTACCAGTTGATAAAAAAATAAAACTCAATTAAATTCTTCAGGTAGTTGAATTATGTATCAAAGTATCAGAGGAAAGAGCTTCAAGAGACTTCAGTTTGAGAAGGCTTCGCAGAAGATTGCCACCTGTTTGAAAAGCCTAATTTATTTAGCTTTTACACAATTTTAATGAAATATTAAAATATGAGTGGCAAAAGAAAGAGTTTTAATAAAACTTTAGATTGTAAATATTTGTTGTGATTCCTATTTTGAGCGATACGTTCGGTTATTGCACGGTGGTTTGAATTTTGAGTAAATGAAAAACCGACGCCATTTAAGACATCTCTTCGTTCAAAAAGGGATGGACGAATTTACTTGAAACATTTTCAATATTTATTAAGGATTGTGGATGTGTTGCCATCTGTTTAAAATATTAAACTCAATTTTGGCGTCTTAACGCCATGCGGATTCACTAGTTCTTATTTATTGTTATATGTTGGATATAAAATATTCATATGCTATTTTACGAACTACCTGATATGTACACTTAACAGCAAAAGTCTGTATACACCATTTCTTTTTTAAATATTCATAATATTTTGCAAGCTAAAATTTGTCTGTTATTTTTTATAAAAACATGGATCATGCTTAAAACAAAATCAAATAAACCAAACTTTTTTTTTATTCAAAATTTTCAACCTTTAAATCAGATTTTTGAATTTCAAAATTTTCAAACTTTTAATCACTTTTTTTTAATTTCATGTACGCTTTTTAGCCCATTTTAGTGCAATAATGTGTAAAAATTAAGTGGCTAAGAAATCGTGTTGATTTTTTTATAATTTTTTTCTTTTGACGGTTCTACGCATTTTCCTCCATATAAAAAAAGTTTCACTCAGAATTCATTTTTACACATTCTTACACTAAAATTGAATGGGCTATAAAACCGTGTACTTGAAATTAAAAAAATTAATTGAATAAACGGTTGAAAATTTTGATGAAAACTCATAGAATTTTCCTAAGTTTCGTATAAAGTTTGTAACCTTGGTTTATATGACATTTTTGTAAGAATAATCCATATTTTTATATAAAAATATTGTGAATATTTAAAAAAAGAAATGGTGTAAATGTAAGTGTATATTCCGAAACCGATGGAAATAATTGAAAGAGTTGAATATTGATCACATAATTACAAGGGCTGCAAAAAATATATTTTTATTTAACAAAGATTATTTGTTTTGCGAGAAAAATGTTCAAATAATAACTAAAAATATATCGGTTGTATGCAATCTTAAAAGTTGGATATAAAATATTCATAGATATTCATTGAACTATCTGATGAATACCGTCCTAACGTAGATCTTCTTTGCCCCGAACTTTGTAGAAATAATTTAAAGAGATTAATTGATGAACATATAATTATAAATAATAGTTTTTTATACACGTACATTGTTTATTTTGCCAAAATTAAAAAAAAAATATTCATATTTATTGTATGTAGTGTAATAAGTTGGATGTACAAAATTATAATTATAATTAAAAATAAAGTGAATTATTGTTTTAATTATAATTAACAATAAAGTGAATTGTTATTTTAATTAGTCTAATTTCGCATATGGACAAAATTGTATTTCTTTTTAATGAAAAAAATCCTCCTCATTTGGAAAAAAGGAGTTTTCAAACTAACAATATATATTTAGCCTTATTGTTAATATAATTTGACAATAATTGTCAGCATAAAAAAACGAATATTCAGTTTGAAAAATAAGTTGTCAATCATAATATATATTATTAATAATACTGATAGTTTTTTTTATGATTTTTTTTCAATTGTAAAAAATTTTTTCAAAGCAACAATATATAAGGTTGTTCACTGATAATTTTTTTTATCGAATTAACAAACCCATATAACAAAATATTTTTGTAATTTTGTAATACTGAAAATTTGTTTCTGTTGACCGTATATTAACCACGATTTTATCTCTCCAACCCAGTTTTTTGTCAATTCTACTGAGTTTTTTTTGTGTGTATACAATAGTTTAATAGTAAAAAGTATTTTTGAAACAAGCTTTCCGAAAATGAACTAAATCGGACTATAAATACGGGCTTTCCGAATATTTCGACTCGTGCGCCACCTACCGGCAACATTTTTTGTGGAGTAATTCCGACTATAAATACGGGTTTTCAAATATTTCGAGTCCTACGCCACCTAGCGGATTAATTTATATCTCATATTGCATTGTCAACGGGTTCTGAGTTAAGTTTGAAATTTCAAAGCCTCTATATTGTAACATTTAACCCAAACAAACATACTTATATACATGTGTACATCGAAATAAAAATTTTTTTGAAAGACCCTACCCTTAATTTCCTTCCTTTTTATGAGAAATATTATTATATTATTAGAGGTCGCGACTGGTAATTTTAGGTCAGAAGGTACGGTTTTATAGATTTAATAAATTTTGAATGACTAGTTTTCCTTCAATTTTAAAGGTGGCACATGTTATGAGAAGAGAATTTATAGGCCCTTAAAATGGTGTATAAATATCGGGCAAATAATAAAAACATTTTTTTTTTCATTTTTTAAGTTTTAACCATCACTAATATTAAATCTATTTTCAAATAAATCGATAGATCATTTATTGAATTGTTGAAGTTAGGCGACTTTTCTTAAATACGGGCTTGAACTTGTTTGTGTGTATGTACCTGACTTTCAGATTTTTGAGCAGTTGTTTCTAAGGAATTCATCAATATTTCTTCAAAATCGATATATGTATACAATCGCTTTTTAGCAAAAAAGTGGTTTTTAAAGAATTTTTAGGACAATGGGGGTGGCACAAGGAATACTTTGTAAAAACCTTCCACGCCAATATTTAATTATTCTTAAACAATAATGTGTTTAAAAAAAGGCGTGCGAGTGAAAGG